CATTTTTAGGTAGATTTACATTTTTGCATTGTTATTCATTTCATAGTTGATAATTATCCAATCTGCTATCTCGTTAGTATGTTTAGGATTTTATTTTCTTTTATGTGTTATTAATATCAAAGTTAAATTCCGAACAGCCTTCCTCGTGAGATCGACCCGGAGAACGAATCTTAGATTCGGGACTCGGTAAAAAGAATAGTTTGCACACAACAGGTTTCAACCCCCGAGTCAATATTATTCAAGTCCAAATCCATACTCGAAGATCCAAATCAAAAGGAGAGATGAATCAGAAGAGACATATAGAGATTGTATCCGCGAAATCGTTTGATCGAAATATGTTCAAGTTGTACAATAGTTGTATGTTTTTCATAAAATTTATTGTTACAAATTTTGTATGCCCAGTGGGACTCAAAAGTCGCTTTAATTGTTACAAATTTGGCACGCTCAGTCGGACCATCTCTACCTCTCATCTCTTCTCTTCAAGTCAAGTTCGAAAATTTGTAAGGATATTTGAAGGCCTCTTTGAAGAAAATGTACAAGGGGAAAACTAAGAACGATGTATCCTCAAGCCATGAAGCTTCCGAAAATCGTCAACTTTATCAAATTTCATGGGGGCAATTTACATGAAGAGCTCCATCAAATCAATTCAATGCTCCTTGATACGAGCCTAAACTATCTATAAAAACTCCTTGACCCGAGCCTAAACTATCTATAAAGCTCCTAGATACAAGCAAAAACTATCCAAATCTAGAAAGTTAAATACTACTTGATATGAACCGAAACTATCGAAAAAGCTCATTGATATGAACAAAAATGTTCAAAACCTCAAATCAAAACTCCTTAATACTAGTATAAACTGTCTACAAGTCAAATTAAAACTTCTTGATACGAATGTAACATGTCTACAAGTTAAATTAAGATGTTTTTTTACACGAGAATAAAAGGTTTATAAGTCAAATATGAAAGCTCCTTGATACGAGCATAAAATGTCTACAAGGCTCCTTGATACGAACATAAAATGTCTACTAATTTAAAAACTCCTTAGACACAAGTATAAAATGTCGATAAATCAATCAAGAACTCCTTGATACAAGTATAAATTATCTACAAATCAAGTCACATGAAGAACTCCTTGATACGAGAGTACTATCTATCAAATCAAATCAAAAACGCCTTGATACGAGTATGAACTATCTACAAATTAAGTCAAATGAAGTTCTCCTTCATATGGGTTTAAACTATTTACAAATCAAGTCAAATGAAGAACTTCTTAATACGAGTCTATATTATCTACAAAACCCAAGTCGAAGAACTCCTAGATAAGAGCTTAAACTATCTGCATGTCTCAACTCTATTCAAAATTTAGAGACTCATTCACTACCAAGACATTTTGTCCTTAAACAAGTCTCAACGGGGCATTTGTAGACATAAAAATTTTTAATGATGTATTAATTAATGTCTTTATTTATTTTTGGACATAAATCTAAAATAAATAAGATGTATAATTAATAAAGTAAATATTTATTGCCCACCAAGATCAAATTTTATGATAAGAAAAAGAGATTATATCAAATCATAAAGGACCAATCTTTCTCGAGACTCTCTCTCCTACAACTATAAATATGGCTCTTCTCAAAGCCACAAATCAAACCTTCAAAATCAAATCTCAAATTCAAGAGCTCTCAAGAACTCTTGAAGATCCGAAGATGTTCTTGAAAATTGGAAGGTGTTCTCGAAGATCCAAGGCGCTCAAGTTGAAGATCAACGTTTAGTCCGAAATTAAGCGCCCGAGCTTCCAAAGTACCTTGAATGGAGAAGAAGGCCAAGAAAAAAAGAAAAAGAGGCAGCGACTCTTCTTCAAGAAGTAAAGAGACGACATTCACCCGTCTCAAATCAATCCAAAAACATTAATGACGTTCAAACGATAAAGCCATGTTCGTCTAGAAGTTCAAGCAACATAGCGTTTGATCTGAGAAAAATCTCTGAAGCCCTCGATCAACGTTATTCAAGTCAAAACACGTCTGTCAAGAAAATCAAATAAACAGGTCCTCCATGAAATATTCTTCAATAAAGTCAAGTCCTAATATTAAATACGGGAATAAGTCATTCGACCCCTAAATTAATGTTAGAGAATTTCAAGATCAAACCCGAAGGAGATTGAATCGTCAAATCCATCTTTCAAGTTCCTAAGCCCAAATCTAAGAAGAGATCAATTAGAAGAGACATATAGAGATTGCACCTGCAAAATCGTTTGATCGAGATATATTAAAGTTGTACAAAAGTTTTATGTTATTCATAAATTTAATTGTTACGATTTTGACAGACCCACATGAGCTTTGAATTGTTACAAATTTGACATGCCCAGTGCGAATCGAAGTAAAATTCATTGTTACAAATTTGGCAACACAATGGGACTCGGAGTAGAATTCATTGTTACACAATTATTTGTGCGTGCTTGTTAGTTTATCACATAAATAATTTTGCACTTATAACTTATCTTCACATGCACGTCGTATAGTTTATTCCATAATTTTTGCGCGCTTTATTAATTTATTTTTGTTTGTCTACTACATACAGTACTATTAAATTAAACGAGACAGACTTGACTCGTTAAGGCTCAAGTCCGGCCTAAACGAGTTGAGTTCGAGCTTCTTTAAAGCTCGTTTTGTTAATGAACCGATAAGGCTCGTTAATGCTTGAAATGAGAATTTTTATACAATATTCTCGAGGTCGACTCGTTAAATCTTGAGATCGGCCCGTTATTAGTGATAAAAGAGCCGAGCTTAAGTTTGATTTTAGGTTCGTTTATTAAACGAACCGAGTTCGACTCTACTCGTTTACAAGCCTAGTCACATACTTCATCCACAAATATTTCATACTTTATCAAATATACATATGTTACTGTGTATAATTTATCGCATAATGTGTTTTGCACTCGGCATTAGATTTTAGTGGAGTGAAAATGTGGTGTGGAAACTTAACAATTAAAATTAAAATAACTATTTCATCTTTTTATTTAATTTTTCAATTGAACCACTATTTTCACTCGGTGAGCTCTTATAGTTCCTCATATGGTGAGCATCACTCCACCCTGAGGGTAATTTTCCGCTAATTTCCTTTCCCCTCCATACATTCTCCGCGATCACCAATCGCCTAGAAAAACCCTCTCTCCGAAAACCCTAGAAAATCACGATCTTTAGATGCTTCAGATAAGCACAATTTGAGTTGTGCTCTACATCAGACCTTTTCATTCTCTTTCTAATTCCACCAGATGCACGCCGTCTTTTCTCCCCTTATCTGATTGTCCACCCGACGTCGCTCAACCTCTTGCTTTCCCTTACTTTCTGTGTTAATTTTTAACCGATTCTTGTATTTCTTTGAATCGGTCGATAGCTGCTGACAACGGCTCACTGAATCGGCTAATGATCGCGTTTGGTTGATCCTTAAGAGATGAAGTTGAAGCGGAGAAGGGCACTTGAAGTGGTCAGTAGAAGTTATTTCTCTGCTCCGATCATTATTGAATTGTGTTTGAATTTACCTTAAGGAGACTTCCTTGGTTATAATTAACTTTTGAGTTTTCTTTGTGGGAGCTTTTAGGGTGCAATCCATTTTACTGTAATATTTGAGCGAATCGGGGGTTGTGTTTGTTGATCTGGAAATAGTTTGGATTCATGGAGCTTCAGTAGTTTGGTGACTATGTGTGTTAATTAACATGCTACCTCTAAGTTTACTTGAGGCAAAAATGATGGTTTCTTTACCTTAGTTGTTTGTATGTCGAAAGTTTATTTCTTGTATTTTGGTTTATTGATTATGCATTCCACCCGACTGTAATGTGTGAGTGAGCATGGCACTATGTGTGGAAATATTTTGAGTTCATAGAGCTTCTTCAATAGTTTGGTGAATCTGTTGGTAAAATTATGATATGCTCAATCGGTCAGCAATTTTGTTTAAATTTTATCATGAAAGTTTCTTTCTTGTGATTTGGTTAGTTGGTTTTGCATTGAAGTTAACTTTTATTACTGAATTATTTTGTTCTAATTAAATTTTATCATGAAAGTTTCTTTCACGTGTTTTAGTTAGTTTGTTTTACATTGAAATTAACTTTTGTTACTGAATTATTTTGTGTCATATTTGTTATTTCCTAATATGAAGACCTTTTTTTTTGTTATATATTATCTATCTTGAAAGATAATTAGAATGGCAGCCTTCATAGATTAGCTATGTATTTTTCCAGATGTATCAAAATTTATACCGTTATTAGTTTGTTGTTTGAAAAGCTAATATGGTATTGAGTTACTGAACATGAGGACACAGTAATATTTTTGTTGTAATCGTGATTGAATAGGGAAATGATCCAATAATCAATTGTTATTGATATTATTCATTCAGATGGTTAGCTTCAACGAATACACTAAGTATCTGATTAAGAAAGTTTGACCTAATGTCTGTTACCAGTTCATGTTACTTTCATTTTTTAATATTTGGTTTATTGGTAGAATATTTGTTGTTCGAAACATTAAACAAATGTACATTAATCAAGTGTACTGAAGTTATTGGTCTTACAATAAATTGAAGCTTTTAGGCAGTACTTATTTTTCTAATTTTCGTTATGGAAATCGTGCATTGGAATCAGTATTGTGTGTAAATGTTCGGTAGAAATATAACGAATGAAGCAAAAGCTCTTGATCTGATTTTTAGCTTCGGATATCCTTTGTTAACATTTCTGTACCTTTCCTGCTCATATAATTTATTTTCCATTGCTTTCATATTGCATCATTCATAGTTCCTGCCGTTTTCTTGTTATATTCCTAAACTGTTATTATTATTTTTTAATTTATGTTTTAAATGTGGCAATATTTATGTTCACGATATTTGGAAATAATGGATATCTCCTTTTTGTAGCCTTCAAAGGTTAAATCCTTCATCAACCAAGTTACTGCTACACCACTTGAGAATATCGAAGAACCACTGAAAAATTTTTCTTGGGAGTTTGATAAGGTATATGCTTCACTCTGTCAGAATTGTCAGATTTATTCGTTTAACATTCGTTAGTGATGCTGATTTGTGCCAATGTAGGGAGATTTCCATCATTGGGTAGACTTGTTTAATCATTTTGACACCTTTTTTGAGAAATACATCAAACCAAGGAAGGATTTGCAGCTTGAGGACAATTTTTTGGAATCGGATCCACCCTTCCCAAGGGATGCTGTTCTGCAGATTCTCCGTGTCATTCGAGTAATATTGGAGAATTGCACAAATAAGCATTTCTACAGCTCTTATGAGGTACATCTTTATCTTAATTCTGCAAATCATGCTTATTTTGTGGAGCTAGAACATGTTTGACACTTGCTTCAATTAAGGGGAAAGGCATTTCCTCTCTGTCCAAATTACTAAATGTAATTGGTCTGAGTATTTAATTTTCTTGTGACCTGCAGATTCTCTTGTTAACATAAAAATTATGTTTGCTTTTGGGATATCGCATGTCTATACGAGGCTAAACAACTGTAGTAACCATTCTGGGTTATTGTGATAGCACATGGTACATTGTGTTATTCTTATCTGACAGTTTTTCGCTCTCAACCTCATATTGCTACATAATTTTGAAGCAAGTGTAACAAGTATTCATCTAACAAGTTAATAGATTCCTCAAATTTTGTGTTATACGAGTAATGGATGGCCTAACGTACTCCACAACAATCTCTATATTAATTTACACAACGCACAAATAAGAAAGATATAGTTGACATATATCCTTGTAGAATTGTCTAAACTGCTGTTTGGTAGCTTGTTTTTGGTGACTTTGTAGGCTTAGATGGTTGGAAGGCTGTGAACAAGGGTGGAGAAGTCGGGGATGGGGGTACGATGATGGCAAAGGAGGCTGTATTTAATTTAAATAGACAATAAAGGATATAGAAAGAGGGTGAATGGGTATTGTGTGTTAATATTCATTTGAAAGTATTTTTACGTCTACCAAAACAGATAAGTAAAGAAATAGAAAATCCTACTGATTTCTTATCACTTGGAATAAGCGGATGAGAATATCTTCTTTGTGCCTCAAACAAAGCTTTGTAGTATGTTTATATTCTCCAAATATGTTGCCCATAAAGGAGTGTTTGTGTTGTCCTTAGATTTTGGTTTAAAACATGAAAAGTTACTCTGATAATTTCTTAGGTGATGGATCGCACTAAAGACTCCAAATCTTGTCCCTGAACCATTCAAAGACAACAGTTTTTTTATCTGCTGGAATGTGGTCTTTCTAGATTAGTTAATTTTTAGCTTTATCTTTATGTTACCATCCCTTTATGCAAATGTCATCGATTCTTTGAGTGAAGAAATATTTCCACACCGAGGTTGTTCACGACCTGATGGTGCGAGGCCTTGGTCCCGATTTATTTCCCTATTAATTTAGAATTGTTAAAGCAAAAATGCTTCTGCTAGTGTGTGAGGATGTGATATGTGTATGTAAGAGAGGGAGGAACGACTTAATAATTGATATATCTTTTGGGGACAACGATTGGTTAGGGAATGGGAATTATTTTCATTGTTTAAATGATAGATGTGTATGAATATCCATTGATTTTCTTGTATATGATTTTCTTTGTCTCACTTGCATTGCTTTGCTCATTTTTTTATTTTTTTTCCCAAATGAACAGAGTGATTGTATTACAATTTAAATATCACTGCTTGTTTCATGTTTTCCATGTTGTACAGCTGTCTTATTTTTCAATTTTCTCATTGTTGGTGCAGCATCACTTGTCATCTCTGCTTGCTTCCACTGATGCAGATGTCGTGGAGGCATGCCTGCAGACTTTGGCAGCCTTTTTGAAGAAATCCATCGGGAAATACATTATTAGAGATGTTTCTCTGAATTCAAGATTATTTTCTTTTGCCCAAGGTTGGGGGGGTAAAGAAGAAGGTCTTGGATTGGTTTCCTGTGCTCTACAGAATGTAGCTGACCCAATTGCTTATGAGCTGGGTAGCACTCTGCATTTTGAATTTTATGCTATGAACATATCTTCTAATGAGCCAACTGCTTCAGAACAGCCAACTCAGGGTTTACAAACTATACATATGCCTGACGTGAATGCCAGAGAAGAGTCTGATCTTGAACTTCTGAATAAGTTAATTGTTGAATATAGAGTTCCACATAATTTGAGATTTTCTCTTTTGACAAGATTGCGATTTGCCAAGGCTTTTGGCTCCCTAGAGACAAGGCAGCAGTATACTTGTATACGGCTGTATGCTTTTGTAGTTCTTGTTCAAGCATGTAGTGATACTGAGGACCTAGTTTCCTTTTTCAACGCTGAGCCGGAGTTCATCAATGAGTTGGTTACTATGTTAAGCATTGAAGATGCGGTTCCTGAAAAAATTCGAATTTTATGTCTTCTTTCTTTGGTTGCCCTTTGTCAAGATAGGTCTCGTCAGCCTACTGTGTTGACTGCTGTAACTTCTGGGGGACACCGTGGTATTCTATCTAGCCTCATGCAGAAAGCAATTGGCTCGGTTGTTAGTGATTCATCTAAGTGGTCTGTTGTTTTTGCTGAGGCTCTGTTATCTCTTGTTACTGTCTTAGTGTCTTCATCATCAGGATGCTCAGCTATGCGTGAGGCTGGATTTATCCCCACCCTCCTGCCTCTATTGAAAGATACAGATCCCCAGCACTTGCATTTGGTTAGTACAGCTGTACATGTTCTGGAAGCTTTTATGGATTACAGCAATCCAGCTGCTGTTCTTTTCCGTGATTTGGGTGGTTTGGATGATACAATATCACGTTTAATGGTAGAAGTATCTCATGTTGAAAATGGTTCGAAGCCGCAGACTACCTCTGGTGAACATTCAGAATGTGGTGGTTCTCAAGTAATTTCAGATGCATCTTCTACCGGGCTTGATAGTCTGCAGCCTCCGCATTCGGGAGCTTTGGTTTCGTATCATCGGCGATTATTGATGAAAGCCCTACTGCGTGCTATATCTTTAGGAACTTATGCTCCTGGGACAACAGCTCGAATGTATGGTACAGAAGAAAGCTTGTTGCCACATTGCTTGTGTATAATATTTAAAAGGGCAAAAGATTTTGGTGGGGGTGTATTTTCACTTGCAGCAACTGTTATGAGTGACTTAATCCACAAAGATCCTACCTGCTTCTCTGTCTTAGAAGCAGCAGGTCTTCCTTCTGCCTTTATGGATGCTGTTATGGATGGTGTTCTTTGTTCCGCAGAAGCTATCACTTGCATACCTCAGTGTCTTGATGCCTTGTGTTTGAACAACAACGGTCTTCAGGCTGTGAAAGAACGCAATGCATTGAGGTGCTTTGTAAAAGTTTTTACGTCTAAAACGTACCTGCGAGCCCTTACTGCCGATACATCAGGTTCCTTGTCCAGCGGTTTGGATGAACTAATGCGCCATGCTGCATCATTGCGTGGGTCAGGAGTTGACATGCTGATTGAGATACTTACTAATATTGCAAAAATTGGATCTGGACTCGAATCGGCTTCACCGTCCTCAGATCCTCCTAGCTCCTCTCAGCCTGTTCTTATGGAAACTGAATCTGAGAATAGAGATGTGATCTTGATTGATGATAAAGAATCATCAAGGCATGGAACTGATGAGCAATTAATGGACATTGTCCCTGATACGCGATCATTGAATGTTGAATCTTCTTTGCCTGATTATATAAGCAATGTTGCTCGTCTTCTTGAAACAGTACTTCAAAATTCTGATACTTGCCGGATTTTTGTTGAGAAAAAAGGAATTGAGTGTGTCCTGCAGTTATTCTCATTGCCTGTTCTGCCCCTCTCAGTTTCTCTTGGTCAAAGCATAGCTGTTGCATTCAAGAATTTCTCACCTCAGCACTCGACTTCTCTTGCTCGTGCAGTATGCACATTTCTGAGAGAACATTTGAGGTCCGCAGAGGAACTTTTGACCCCAATTATGGGACGCCAGCTTACTGAGATTGAGTTTTCCCATAGAGTAAAGATCTTGAGGTGCCTCACTACATTGGAAGGGATCCTGTCTCTTTCTATTTCTTTACTAAAAGGCACCACTACATTGGTCTCTGAACTGGGTTCTGCTGATGCGGATGTCTTGAAGGAACTTGGGAAGACTTACAGGGAAATTCAGTGGCAAGTATCTTTATGTTGTGAGTTGAAGGTGGTGGAGAAGTCAAGTGGTGAAGTGGAGCCCGATAATACAGATGCAGGTACATCGAATGTGGCTGGAAGGGATAGTGATGATGACTCTAATATTCCATCCATTAGATATATGAATCCTCTATCTATCCGAAATAGTTCCCACTCACAATGGGGAGTTGAGCGTGACTTCATATCTGTGGTGCGTTCAAGTGAAGGTTTCAGTCGACGTAGCCGACATAGTTTGGCTCGTCTTCATGGTGGCAGAGCGGCTGGAAGGCACCTGGAAGCTTTACAAATTGATACTGAGTCCGGAACATCTAGTGCAAAGGCTCCTTCCCACGGGATGAAGAAGAGAAGTCCTGAAATGGTGGCTGTAGATATTCTGAATAAGCTTGCTTTGACCATGTGTTCTTTCTTCACAGCACTGGTGAAAGGTTTTACGTCACCGACTCGTCGAAGAACTGAAACTGGGCCCTTAAGTTCTGCTTCGAAGACAATTGGGACTGCCCTTGCAAAAGTTTTTCTAGACTCTCTGGGTTTCTCAGGGTACACCAGTTCCACTGGAGTCGATGTGTCACTGTCGGTCAAATGTCGATATCTTGGGAAGGTTGTGGATGATATGGTGGCCCTTACATTTGATAGCAGGAGGCACACATGTTATGCTTCTATGATCAACAAATTTTATGTGCACGGGACCTTCAAGGAGCTTCTTACAACTTTTGAGGCAACAAGTCAGTTGTTGTGGACTGTTCCCTATGCTATTTCTGCGCCAGGTTCTGATCACGAGAAAAGTGGCGAAGGGAGCAAGCTGTCTCACAGTTCGTGGCTGCTCGATACATTGCAAAGTCATTGTCGTGAGCTAGAGTATTTTGTGAATTCTGGGATATTATTGTCTTCAACCTCAGCATCTCAGGCTCAGCTACTTGTTCAGCCTGTTGCAGTCGGTTTATCCATTGGGCTGTTCCCCGTTCCTAGGGACCCCGAAGCATTGGTCCGTATGCTACAGTCTCAAGTTTTAGATGTGATACTTCCTGTCTGGAACCATCCGATGTTCCCAAACTGTAGCCCTGGTTTTATCACTTCCATCGTTTCACTACTTACTCATGTGTACAATGGCGTAATTGATATAAAAACAAGTCGCAATGGACTATCTGGAGCAGCTCACCAACGCTTCATGCCACCGCCTCCTGATGAAGCTACGGTTGCTACTATTGTCGAGATGGGCTTTTCAAGAGCGAGAGCTGAGGAGGCACTGAGACGAGTGGAAACAAACAGCGTTGAGATGGCAATGGAGTGGCTGTTCAGTCATGCTGAAGATCCTGTTCAAGAGGATGACGAGCTAGCTCGTGCACTGGCTTTATCTCTGGGAAATTCTACAGAATCACCTAAAGTCGATGGTGCTGATAAGTCTGCCGATGTCGTGAACGAAGAGGGAAATTCGAATCCCCCTCTGGCTGATAATGTTCTTGCTGTTGGGACGAAATTATTTGAGGGTAGTGATGCCTTGGCCTTTCCACTTACAGATCTGCTTGTAACTCTTTGCAGCAGGAACAAAGGGGAGGAGTGCCCCAAAGTGATTTCTTATCTTCTTCAGCAGCTAAAGCTTTGCCTACTTGACTTCTCTACTGACAGCTGTGCGCTGGGTAGAATCTCCCATACTCTAGCATTACTTCTTGCAGAAGATGGTGTCACTCGGGAAATTGCTGCAGAAAATGGTATTGCGGTGGTGGTAATCGATATCTTGATGAATTTTATGTCCAAGACTGAGGCTTCAACAGAGCTCCTTGTGCCTAAATGCATCAGCGCATTACTTCTTATCTTGGATGATTTGGTACAATCTAGGCCCAGGATTTCTGGTGATAATGGTGAGGGAGTATTACCCGGAGCGTTATCTGGTGCATTGGGAAATCAAGCATCATCTGAAGCAATTGAGGTCAAATCAGTTCCATCTGATGTGTGCAAGGATAATGACTCTGCCAAGGATGGTTCTGCCTTGGAAAAAGTTTTTGGCAAACCAACTGGTTATTTGTCGATGGAGGAGAGCCATAAGGTACTTGTAATTGTTTGTAACTTGATAAAAAGTCACGTACCTTCAATCATTATGCAGGCTGCTCTTCAGTTGTGTGCTCGCTTGACAAAATCACACGCTCTGGCTCTGCAATTCCTTGAAAATGGTGGCTTGGTTGCCCTTTTTGGCCTTCCAACGAGTTGCTTCTTTCCTGGGTATGACACTTTAGCATCTGCTATTGTTCGGCATCTTCTTGAAGATCCTCATACATTGCAATCAGCTATGGAAGTTGAGATACGACAAACACTGAGTGGAAGTAGGTACAATGGAAGAATATCGGCGAAAACATTTCTAACATCAATGGCACCAGTTATATCCAGAGATCCAGGGGTCTTTATGAAAGCTGGAGCTGCTGTGTGTCAGGTGGAGTCTGTAGGAGGAAGGACCATGGTGGTGCTGTCTAAAGATAAAGACAAAGAGAAAGAGAAGTTAAAAAGCTCTGAGACTGGAGTGTCCACTAATGAATGTGTACGAATAACTGAACAGAAGACTCCTGACGGGTCTAATAAGTACTTCAAAGGCTACAAAAAGGTTTCAGCAAACCTCACCCAAGTAATTGATTATCTTCTTGAAATTGTGTCAACTTACCCTTCGTATAATGCGGATGATGATTGCGGAGGCCATCCAAGTGCCATGGAGGTAGATGAACCAACCTTGAAAATGAAGGGTAAATCAAAGGTTGATGAAACTGTAAAAACAGGATCTGACAGTTTCTCTGAGAAAGCTGCAGCCCTAGCTAAGGTGACATTTGTTCTCAAGTTATTGAGTGATATTCTCCTCATGTATGTTCAAGTCGTTGGTGTAATCTTGAGACGGGACCTGGAAATGTGTCAACAGCGTGGGTCCAATAATTTTGAAAGTCCTGGACAGGGTGGCGTAGTCCACCATTTGTTACATTGTCTTCTTCCCCTGTCAATGGATAAATCTGCTGGCCCTGATGAGTGGAGAGACAAGCTTGCTGAAAAAGCTTCATGGTTTCTGGTTGTATTGGCTGGTCGTTCCAGTGAAGGAAGGAGAAGGGTGGTCAATGAACTTGTGAAAGCTTTATCGCAATTTATAAATGTTCAGAATAACTCTTCTAGCGGCGGTTTATTACCTGATAAGAAAGTTCTTGCATATGTTGATCTGGTATATTCTATTTTATCGAAGAATTCTTCGTCCGGAAACCTACCGGGTTCTGTGTGTTCACCTGATATTGCTAAAAGCATGATTGATGGAGGAGTTGTCCATTGCCTATCCAGCATTCTTCAGGTAGTTGATTTGGACCATCCTGAAGCACCAAAGGTTGTGAACCTCATACTCAAGTCATTGGAAAGCCTTACTAGGGCGGCCAATGCTAGTGAACAACTTCTCAAAGCAAATACGTTGAATAAGAAAAAGGTGAACGATCTAAGTGGAAGTTCTGCAACCCAGCTTGTAGGTTCTGGGGATTCTCAACTACAATCTGCTGAAAATAGAAGCTCACAAGATGGACTCATGAGTAATGGACGTTCAGAATCACAACCTGCTGGTATCTCTTGGGAAAATGGTAATCAGAATCTATATATATATATATATATATATATATATATATATAATTGCTAGCAAATAATTTAATAAAACTCTTTTTGTTTTCTCGCCTTTTTCCGTTACTTTTGCATTAATCAAACAATTATATTTTTTTATTTATTTTATTATATAATTGCTACTATTAACTAATACTAAAGTCACATTAAATGTTATTCTATTAATAAACCATTTTCAAACTATTTATTTATATATTTTCACCTCATTAAGCAAGTCTTTTATTAAAATTAGTCAATTATTTTTTATGCATAACCAAACTCTTTAACATTTTGTACTTAATTGCTATAATAATAATTTCAATATTGTTTTATCCAATTAATTTGTCATAATCAATTAAGATTTCATAAATTTAAAGATCAATATGTAAGTTAAATAGTTTATGTATACATAGTTCATTTTTACTAATGATAAAATTTATAAATGTGATATGTTCATTATCTAACTTATGATTTTAAATTTTACATAAAAATATATATAACTTATAAAATTTTTACATTTGTGCATGTGCACAGGATCGAATACTAGTGCAAATCCAAACCAGCCCCATGGTCAAGAGATGAGGATCGAGGAGCATACCACTAATGATCCACACGTAGATCTTGGGATGGATTATATGCAAGATGATATGGAAGAAAGTGGTGCCTTGCCCAACACTGAACAAATCGAAATTGCTTTTCATGTGCAGAACAACGTAGATGATGATATGAATGAGGAAGAGGATGGCATGGGTGATGATGGTGAGGATGAGGATGATGGTGAGGATGAGGATGATGCTATAGGGGAAGGCACTGGTTTAATGTCATTGGCTGATACTGACATTGAGGACCACGATGATGCTGGGTTGGGTGATGAATACAATGATGATATGGTTGATGAAGAGGATGACGACTTCCATGAAAATAATGTTATTGAGGTGAGGTGGAGAGAGGCTCTTGATGGTTTAGACCATTTGCAGGTCCTTGGACAACCTGGAGCAGGGGGTTTGATTGATGTCTCTGCAGAAGCTTTTGAAGGAGTGAATGTCGACGACTTCTTTGGAATCCGTAGAACTTTTGGCTTTGAGCGCCGTCGTCAAACTAACAGAACTTCCTACGAGCGGTCTGTTGCCGATGGAAATGGTCTTCGGCATCCTCTCCTTTCAAGGCCATCGAATTCTGTTGATATGGGTTTGACTTCTGCTGGGAACTCCCGCGATTCAGAAGGCCTTTCTGCCGGTAACCTTGATCTCGCTCAGTTTTACATGTTTGATGCTCCTGTTCTTCCATATGATAGTGCAACCAATCTATTTGGTGATCGGCTTGGTGGTTCTGGCCCGCGACAACTAGCTGATTTTTCTGTTGGTTTAGAGTCATTGCGTGGATCGGGTCGAAGAGGGCGGCCAGGTGATGGCCGGTGGTCTGATGATGGCCAGCCCCAAGGTGATGGTCAAGCTGCTGCAATTGCTCAGGCTATTGAAGATCAATTTATTTCTCAGTTGGGCAATAATAATACTCCTGAAAGACTTGAACAGAACGCAGCCTTACCGGAAAGCCAGGAGAGAGCTCCTATTTCTGCCACTGATATTCAGCAGGTATTGGTTGTTGATAGCACTGAAGCTCTACTAATTGATGATCACCATATTAACAGTGTTGACGAAGGTGCTCAACCGGATGAACTCCAACTGTCTCAGGAAGTCAATCGAGAGGTCTTGTCAGGAAGGGAACGCCAACAAGAAGCGCAAGTTATTCGTAGTGACGTTGCTGATGATAGGATGGAAACAGGGGTTGTGCATAATGTTGGGGGACAGGATCTGGAGACATATTTAGGTTCTGTTGCTCCGGATAGTGTGCTCTCTGACCGAGGATCGGGATTTCCGCCTACTTCTCATGGTTTATCAGACTCTGGAACAGATATTGCAGGTTCTGGTGATTTTCATGCTTCAATTCCAGCAAGTGGTGATGTTTACATGAATGGCACTCAAGTGGAAGGGGACCAGGCTGGCACACGATTACTTCTGTCTGAAATTAACCTTGAGGAGCCATCGCAGCTGCTAAATAATGCTGTTGTTGAAGATGCAGACCAGACTGAGGAAAGTAATTTGAATAATGAGGCTTCTAATAATGCCAGTGGTATAGATCCAACATTTTTGGAGGCACTCCCTGAAGATCTTCGTGCTGAGGTTCTTGCTTCACAGCAAGCTCGGTCGGCTCCACCTTCTACCTATGCACCTCCTGGAGTTGAAGAAGACATTGATCCTGAATTTTTGGCTGCTCTGCCTCCTGATATTCAAGCTGAAGTTCTTGCTCAACAGCGAGCACAAAGGATTGCTCAGCAATCTGAAGGACAACCTGTTGACATGGACAATGCTTCTATTATTGCTACTTTCCCTGCTGATCTGCGTGAAGAGGTGTGTCTTACAAGTTCTTCATGTAATCACCTATCTGCGTTAGCTTATGTTTTCTCTTTTGTTTACTTTAGGTGCTATTAACGTCTTCAGAGGCACTATTATCCGCACTGCCATCTCCGTTACTTGCCGAAGCACAAATGCTCCGAGACAGAGCAATGAGCCATTATCATGCCCGCAGCTTGTTTGGAGGTAACCAGAGACTAAACAGAGCGAATAGATTGGGTTTTGACAGGCAAACGGCTATGGATAGGGGTGTTGGAGTCTCTATTGGACGGAGAGCTGCTTATGTTGCAGAGAATTTGAAGTTGAATGAAATTGATGGCGAACCACTTCTTGATGCTAATGGGTTGAAAGCGTTAATCCGTTTGTTACGACTGGCGCAGGTAGTTTACAAGTTTAATCTACATTTTGGCGAGAGCCTGTACATTGCCAAATGCATGATCTTATTGTGGTTTTTGTGTGATTGATTGCTAAACAGTTGAAATATCGTTTAATCTACATTTTGGCGAGAGCCTGTACATTGCCAAATGCATGATCTTATTGTGGTTTTTGTGTGATTGATTGCTAAACAGTTGAAATATCGATGCTCTGTAACTGTTTTTCTGTAGAAATAGCTTGTGCTGAACTAGTTTAGATACCTTTCCATTTAGAAATTTAATATTCTGAATATCCATGTGCTGTATGGAACTTAATATTTTTCCTACTTTTTGCTTGTAGCCTCTGGGGAAAGGTCTACTGCAGAGACTTCTTTTGAACTTGTGCTCACACAGTGATACAAGAGCAGTTCTTGTTCGGCTTCTGCTTGATATGATCAAGCCTGAGACTTCGAGCGTAGTTGGTGGAGTGACTTCAGTTAATACACAAAGACTTTATGGATGCCAGTCTGATGTTGTTTATGGCCGATCTCAATTATGTGATGGTAAGCTGTTATTCACTTCGCCTGCTAATATAATATTTTCTTTTATAAATTGGACGAAGGTCGTATCAATCAGTCTGTACGTCATAATTGTATTACATCTGCTCCACTCCCCTACTAAATCCTGGTAATGTGAAATATTCTTTTATTCGTACGTAGATGTAATGAGGGGTTTTATTGTACTCAGGTGTTCCACCATTAGTTTTACGCCGAGTGCTTGAGAACCTGACCTATCTGGCTACAAATCACTCTGGTGTTTCCAGCCTCTTGTTCCACTTTGATAGCTTAACTATTCCTGAACTTTCATCAATAAACCATGGAGGGGACAGTAATGGAAAAGGTAAGGACATCATCGGAGGGTTTTCTGAAAACTCACAGAAAGGAGACATCCCTTTGATATTACTTCTTAGGCTTTTAAGCGAACCACTTTTCCTACGGAGCATGGGGCATCTTGAGCAGGTATTCCATTCTGGTCTTCAGTATTGATTTTAAAAAATGCTGGTGAGTATCTGTTTTGCATAATTGCTGTATATATTGTTCCCTGCTAGGTCATGGGTCTGCTCCAAGTTGTAATATGTGCTGCAGCTTCCAAGATAGATGCTTTGTCAAATGCTGAAGAAACTGCGCCTCCAACTGAAAACCCTTCTGTAGATGAAACTGCCAGCAATATCAGGACAGATACTAATGCATTAGGAGCAGAATCTCAACTAGACCAGAATGCCAGTGCTTTGAACGCCAAATCGGATGATCGGAGAACAACTAGAACTTATGATGTCTTCTTGCTGATACCGCAATCAGATTTGCATAATCTTTGTAGCCTTCTTGGGCATGAAGGGTATGTTTTCTTTGTTTGATCATTGCGAATCACTGCGGTATTATATCGTAGTGATTCGCTAATTCAAACCCATTATTCATTTTTAATTTTTGTTTTTCATAGGATGCATGTTTGTCTAAAATATTGCCAGCATTTGTATACAACCATTATATATGCTAGAAACTCGTCATGTAATTGAGACAATGCTGCGAGTTTCATCTGTTCTGTGTAATATTACTCAGGCTTTCTGACAAAGTTTACACCCTGGCTGGTGATGTGCTGATGAAGTTGGCTTCAGTGGCTTCTGTTCATCGCCGATTTTTCATTTTGGAACTTTCGGAGTCAGCCGAAAGGCTGAGCACGTCAGCCGTCAATGAACTCGTCAAACTAAGGAACACACAAATGCTGGGATTGTGCTCTGGATCAATGGCTGGGGCCGCCATTCTTCGCGTTCTACAGATTCTCAGCTCGCTCATTTTCATTGGCACCGACAATGATAAGGACAGAGTGGATGGAGAAGAGCAGGAAGAGCAAGTGACAATGTGCAAGTTAAATGCTGCACTTGAGCCCCTGTGGAAAGAACTGAGTGATTGCATTAGTACAATGGAGACCGAGTTGAGCCAGAGATCCGACTCTTCCACTGTCTCAAGCAATAGCATTGGGGAACAGATTCAGGGGTCTTCACCAGCAACTTCCCCTTTACCCACTGGGACTCAGAGGCTCCTGCCTTTTATCGAGGGCTTCTTCGTTCTTTGTGAGAAGTTGCAGGCCAATAATTCCACTTTGCAGCAAGATCTTAACGTGACAGCATTAGAAGTGAAAGAGTCTGCTGGGAGTTCAGGCCAGTTTACCAAATCCATGGATCCTTACAAGAAAACTGATGGGTCCATCACGTTTGTTAGGTTTGCTGAGAAGCACCGTCGCCTTCTTAATGCCTTTGTAAGGCAGAATCCCGGCTTATTGGAGAAGTCACTCTCAATGATGCTGAAAGCTCCTCGGCTAATTGATTTTGACAACAAGAGGTCTTATTTCCGTTCCAGGATCCGTCAGCAGCATGACCAACATTTGTCGGGCCCACTGCGTATTAGTGTTAGGCGAGCGTACATTTTGGAGGACTCATACAACCAGCTTCGCATGCGGTCAACTCAGGACCTTAAGGGACGGTTGAATGTGCATTTCCAAGGTGAAGAGGGTATTGATGCCGGTGGCTTGACTAGGGAGTGGTATCAGTTGCTGTCGAGGGTCATATTTGACAAAGGAGCTTTGCTTTTCACTACTGTTGGAAACAATGCGACTTTCCAACCAAATCCTAATTCAGTATATCAAACTGAGCATCTCTCGTATTTCAAATTCATAGGCCGCGTGGTAACTACCCAAAACGATCCATCTCGACCTTCAATATCAAATTCTATTTAATCATCTTCAATCTTTTAATTTCTTTCTTTTTTTAGAGGAAAGTAATCCTAACCTTTCACATTGTTCCATTGTAGGTCGCTAAGGCACTTTTTGATGGACAACTGCTTGATGTATATTTTACTCGCTCCTTCTACAAGCATATCCTTGGAGTAAAGGTGACTTATCATGATATAGAGGCTGTTGATCCAGATTACTATAAAAATCTTAAATGGATGTTGGAGGTGAGTTGGAGTTAATCTTTCTTTCTTTCTTTCTTTTTTTTTTTTTTTTT